TTCCTATTTATATATGGAGGTTATTTTCCCCTTATTTTATTAAACTATCACAAAAAAGCTGCTTGAGCAGCTTTTCTTGATTAAAACCAAGAAAACTACAGATTGTCAAGTCTGCACAGAGCTTCTCTAAGCCTTTGTTGTCTCACTGGTGAAAGTGTGTATAACAGCATTACCTCCCTCCTAGGGAGGCTTGGTGCCTCACCTAGATAAGACCTAGCAAAACTGGGCACGTTGCTTGTCCTGTAGTCGTGTTTTTAGTATATGTCAATGATTACCATTCACTAAGGTGCGTCGTTATTTTAATAAATACATTTTTATGTATTAAATTGTTTTAGTTATATATGAGAAATTGTGTTGGCTTTTTAAAAAACAAGCTCATCCCAGTCAGTGTGAGAAATTTAACTAAGCTCAGCGGCTAGCTCCTTCTTCCACCTTTTTCCTGTTTTTCAGATTGAAAAGGCCTCTTTAGTTTTTTCACTTCCTAAACTGTTTCTCAACTTAGAGTGAGTTAGTCCCAAAAGGGAGTTAGTCTTGAGAAATGACTTCTCTCAGGGACGAGGTGGGTCTGGTCCAGTTAGGAATCATTGGCATGCCAAGGAGACCCCCTGGATGAAATGGAATAAACAGGAGCAAGAAGCAAATCCTGCAGTTCAGGTCAGAAAAGCGGCTGAGCAGATGTTTATTGGGTAAGCCCTAACTTGGTGGTGGTTTGAGTGAAAGATCTGGGGGATTCTACTTAATTACAGGGTCGGTATAAGCCGCTATTTGATATGCCCATCTCTTTAAAAAGAGAAGAAGAAAAGTGTTTCATTCACCTCTGTTTTAAGGGGGAGAGAGTGCGGGAGAACCAGAGTAGGTCCTGAGACAGGCAGGAAGAGAAGACTCGGGGGGCTCGGGCTCGTGACCTGCTTGCGAGCTGTTATATAGAAGGTAAAACAGACCTGAAATATTGTAGGCGTCCTCACTTGAACCCTTAGTTCTGAAACTCCTTTTCTGAAGGTACAAGAAAATAATGGAAGGAAGTAGAAGATAGACTGTTTTTCCATTGGTTGCACTAAGTGATGGATATGACTCCTTTCAAAGCCCAAAAATATTGAAATGTTTCAATTAAAAAACTTTTATGAACACTTGAAACATCACGTGCAAGAATCCTCAAAATGTCTTTATTCATCTTAAATCTAGAGGACCCTGCTACTAAGAGAAAAAGTTGGAAAGTATTAAGAAAAATAGCCATTTTATCAGCACTTAAAATCATTCGGGAGGTAGGTTGTGATCATAAATGTGTTCTGAAAAAAGTGCAAAAGTCTTGATTTGATATTTTTCACTTTTTCCACCTGGATTTCTCATGCCATTTCTTATTTTTCAGTGTATGAAGAAACCTTGAAAACCCCCTTGGCCCTGCATCTTTTACTGTGGGGAAGGTGTGAGAGCTTTCCTCTGAGAGTTTTCATTCAGAAAAGGCTCTATGCTTTACTTCGGAGCATTTGTTTTTGATTTGTAGTGTCAGATGACTTGGAATCCCCCCAAACAATCGAATTATTGCCCACTTTATCCTGCTTCTTTCTACTTCTCAATTTGTCCTTCCTGGAGAGAGGCTAGTAAGCAGATTGTGGAGTGGTGTCTACCGAGTACGGAGCTCTGTTCTGCCGTAGCTGTGTACAGTCTGTGTGCTGTTGTGTTACGATCGGAGAAGAGCTCCTGCGCTGCCCCTCGTGCAGTAGAGGCACAGCTGCATTTGGTGGTCATGGATGGGGCACAGTGGCAGCCGGCACTGCTGTCACCATGCATGCAGAGGGAATCTGGAGGTGTCCGGGGTGGTTTGCTTCCCCTCCACCACCTTCCTGGCGGTTATTACAGAGCTGTTCTGGCTGCTGTTTCTTGGTTGTTTGTGGCATCCGCACTGCCCCGTCTAGGGGCACTGCTTCGTCACTTGCTGATGTTCATCAGTGGTTCCTGCCCCTCCCTTGCTCGTTTTCATATCCTGTCTTTTCTAGTTTATCATGAGGAAATGGTTGGTTGTAACCAGAACTCTTTTTTTCTGCATTGTAATTAGAGTGTTTATGAAAACGGATGCTTCTCTCCTGTGTTTGGTTTTGTTAAATCCTTAGCCACTAGTTGTAGAGGAGTTCTGGGAAGCAGATCTTAAAATAGATTTGGGCAGTGTGCAGGTATAATGCATCAAATAACTTTGAACCCATTTCCAAAGACAACGTAAGTTACAGAAAAATATCCATCTGGGCATTTTTAAGAGATGGGGAAATCTGTAAGATTATTTTATTTCATGAGATACTCGGTAGGATCTTTCCTTAAATTCCATAGATAATACTCTCTTGCTATTTGTACATATATTTTTATTGACATAAGGTGAATTCATTATGAATAGAAGTTTGCTGAAAGCATTAATTATTTTAACCTGAATATATAACAATTTAAACTTCAGGTTATAAAATTCCGAAACTTAACGAGAAAGCCACTCATGTCTGTTTATCGTGTGCTTTTGGCAGAGGTGACAAAGGCAGGTCTAATAACTGCGTGGTTTCTCTTCTGGTAGCATTCAAACCACAGGTCACATCCTTTGGTGTAAATATTCAAAACGCTCTCCTTTAATCTGGTAGTGATTTCTGCCAGCTGTAATCCACTGAAAGCTCTTCCTCCTACCAACCTGTCTGTCTGGATTGCTTTGAAAGCTGTGATTTAAGTCCTCGTCCTAGTCTGACCATGTCAGGCTTTTTTTTAAGCTGTGGGAAGCATCATTTGATTCACATTAAACACTAATCTGATGCTGCACGAGGGTACTGTTGTTTGTGGTTCTATAACGTGTGATTCAGTAACCTCTTCTTAAATATAAGTGCACTTCATTTGATATTCTAGTCTATAGATTGACTTCTACATGCCTTTTCCTCAAATACAGGAATTTCAGGTTGAGTATATAGAGTTAAAAAGTCATTTCTATTGAGAATAATTTTTTTAAAAGAGACTTAAAAGGAAGTGAAGAACTTGTCTTTCTTGGAAACTGGAGGAAGGAGGATCCGTCTTAGTGTTAGTGTAGTGGTGGGGAGTACTGACACTGTTGCCTTCAGCAACACGGAAGGTAGAAAATGTGCCCAGTGGGCCACGTGACCTGGCTAAGGAGGTTTCCAAGCCAAGTGTCAAAGGTGCCCTGTGGTTTCTTCTCGCTTCTTAAAGTACAATGCAGGACTAGAGAGAGTAATCAAGGGAAGGACTGTGGAACCAAAAGAAACCAGATCTGATGGTTTAAAAATTCTCAGCCTCTGGAGAGGCAAAGATGCTAAAATTAAGAAATGGCTTCTGAGGGAAGTTCAGGTTCCTTATGAGTTTTCTTAGCATCAGGTATGCCTCCTATCTGGTTGCAGAATTATGTTTACATGTGTAATTATTATTTGATATTAATGTTGAATTGAACCCTGGGGCAGGGGATGTGCCTTTTCTTTCTGCCTCAACCGTAGATCGTAAGCCATTTGAGACTAGGTTATTTCATGAAGTTGAGGTGCAAACCTACCATATTAAAAGGATCCCATAAGGAAGCCTCAGTGTACCTGGTGTGAGTGGCCATGGAACTCTGCCAGAACCAGGAGAGAAGAACCAGGCTGAGTCTGACAGGACCAGTGCCTCCTGGCTCACCTGCGAGGAAATTGCTCAGGGAGCCAAAGATGCGAGGTGCCAGCAGCCACCAGCAGTGTTTCAGAAGAGTAGGCAGAAAAATTGTAGGTGTCTGATCCCTGGCTGCAGGGAGAGCATATTATAAGCACAGAGTATGTGAATCTGGGAGACATTCTTCCAGCTTCATGATCTCAACCTTTTGGCACACATTGTTTGGTAAGTAATATGGAAGTTAGACCTCTTGGCAGTAACCAAAGCTATTCATTGAAGGGGAAGCCATGAAATATATTGGTTTATCAAAAACTATTCAGTTTTTAAATTAGTTTTTCCTCCTAAAAAAAAAAATCCTAAAATTATGAAGATGTAAAGCAGGGTTTCTCAACCTTGGCACTGTTGGCATTTTGGACTGCCAGAATGTGGAGAGCTGTCTGGTGCGTTACAGAACGTTTAGCAGCATCTCTGGCCTCTATCCTCGGAATGCCAGTAGCACCCCACCACTTCCACTCAGTTGTGAGAACCAGAAATGTCTCCAGACAGTGCCAAACGTCCCCTGGGGGACGAAGCCATCTCCTGTTGAGAACCACTTGTATAAAGGAAAAAGTAATCAGAGGGAAAAAAAGGCAGCAGTAGAATTTTAATTGCCCATAAGTCCATCTTTTTTACCTAAATAACTCTTGATCCGTGTTTTGCTTTGTGAAGATAAAGCAAGTGTTAAATAATTGTAAATTAAAGCAATGTATACTAGTTTGGGTTAGAACATTGGAATTTTTTTTGGGGAAAAATGTAGGTGTTTGTTTCAGCAGCGAGCAAACATGTTATGTGTCTGAAATGACAGCTGAGCTGGCAGTGGGGCGTCTGAAGTAGCTGTGAGGTAGCCTGGCCAGGGAGGGCCAGACCTCCTGGTGTCCACCCAGCGTGTCCTTCTCAGCGGAGCAGTCCACGTGACGTAAACCCTCCGGGCACTTGAAAAAATGCACGTTTGCCTCAGAATTTCTGAGGATGAGAATCAGTTAGGTTTGGAAGCCACGGCACCTGACCACATTGCCGTTCCTTCCTTTGTTTTAATTGTCTAAGTCAGTCATGTTAAATGGAGTTTTCCAGATAGGTAGGATTGAATAACATTAAACTTTGGGAAATGAAGTGACTCTGTCACTTCATGTTCATAGAGGAGGGAAGGAAGGGAGGAGAGGTGTGTGGGCAGTTTTCCAGGGGTGGCAGACGACGACCTTCTACACTGAGCAGGGGAAACGTGGCTCCTTGAGATAACTCGATTGTGGTTTGGGTAGTGTCTGAGTACAGGATGTTCAAGGGACTCCTCCTCTTCTCTCCTGGGACTCTTTCACATCTTATCGACAAACGTTTTCTGACATGGTTTAAAGGAGCAGAGGCACAAGGACCTGTTGGTATGTTGTGTAAAAGCCCTGCACTCCGGAGAGCCACGTGTTGATGAAACTGTAGTGGCCGTTGCTCCTTCACTCTGTCGTCAGGCATCGAGTCCTGGCCCAGAAAAGCTAGTGAAGGTGGGTGATAGTCCTGGGTGGAGGCTGAGAGCCCAGTGGTGTCTTAGGGTGAAAAGGACTGTCCTTGGTGTAGCCACTTCTCTAGAGGTTGAATACAACCTGTGGTATTGAATACAGAAAATTCTAGTGATGAAATGAATTGAGGATTATTATTACAATAGGTAGTGTGTTTATGTAGAAAAAGTCCTAAAACCTTTTAGGAATTTAGTGCCTCATACTATATTTGTCTTTCCGTTATGTCACAATGTTGTTTCAGTAATTTAAAATGAATCAGGCCTCATCTGTACATTTTTCAATAAAATTCATTCTTTAGAAATCTACAGTTAATTTAAATAATTTCATTATCTATTCTGGGGAGTTCGACTTCTCTTCGGAATACATATTTGGCTAACATGGCTTCTTATAACACGGTTTTCTGGTGTTAACTTCTTAGGCTTGTCCATTTTACTCTTTGACTCTCTGACAGTGCCGCTGCCCGCCCGCGTTACCATTGAGGCCTACAACCTGAACACCATCCTGCTCTGGGACTATCCGCCCATGCCACAGACGGCTGTCTTCACCGCGCAGGTGAAGACCTACGGGTGAGCCCCTCTTGGGTCCTCTCCACTCTGTTCTGTCTGAGTGCTTGCACTTTGCATAACTGTCTCTGTCCGTCCTCCTTCCTGCCCATGTGGCAAAACTTCCTGAACTGCTCCTAGACTTCCAGAAGTGCCAAGGATGTAAATTAGTTCTTCTCAGACTACTTCCTGCCTCTGAGTTCTTCTTCCTGTCAAATTGAAGTAGAGAAGTATCACTGACTTCCAGGATTTTAAGGCATGACAAATACAGCTTACATTTCTGTATTAAAAGTCTTGTCATCTTACTTCCTAGAGTGTGTGTGTTGTTGAGGAGAAAGATAAAAATTTCAAAAACATTTTTAACAAGCGTTAGGGAGTCTTTGTAATGTGTTGGATTCTGTAACTAAGTAATGATTATCTCTGTTAATAGAATCTAAAGTTGTTTAAAGAGCAGATTTTTAAAAATTACATGTGGAATGTTTGTAGTTGTGCCTCCTTCTTGTCATGGATTTGTAGTACCTCTAACGGAAGAGTGAGGGCCTCCTGCTCTGTCTGTCTCCTCCGTCCTCTTCTCATCCAGCTTCTTCCGACAGCTCTGTGCTGTCAGGGAAGAGCACAGGCAGAGACAGCTCACATCTGTGTGTTAATAATAATAATTCCTCCTTCTTGTAGGAATGCAGTGTGGATTGATGCCTGCAATACCTCTTATCATTATTGTAATATTTCATCCCAAATTACTGATCCATCAAGTTCTCTCTGGGCCAGAGTTAAAGCGAGGCTTGGACAAGAAGAATCGGCCTATACATACTCAAAAGAATTTATCTTATGCCGACAAGGTGAGTAGAACGTAGACATGACTAAATTTTAAATTTGGAAATACTTATACATGTGTTCTGTGTACATTTGCTTTTATCAGCAGTTGCTAACAATTATCACAATGCCCAAGAAGCATTTGGGAGAATTTAGGGGGTCCATGTCTTCCTCTTCTCCCAAGCCCACGGAACAGGGCTGAGAGGCGCCATCGCTTTGCCCCTCTAAACCATCCCGTTTCCCCTCCATACAGTAGGGTCAGTGCTGTCCCCTCCCTGTCTTGTCTGTCGTTCCTTTCTGAGTCACATTCACGAAGGACTGGGGCAGCTGCTCTCATTCTTCCTCTCTCCTTAAGTCCTCGAGGCCTGTGGGGGTTACCAACTTAATACATTAAAAAACTCCAGAGTTCCGTCATCCCTTCCAGCCCAGTGAGTTTCAGCTCTTCGCTGTTCTGGCATCCCGTTCCTGTAACCCGGTGTTTGTTGTCACCTCGAGCTCCAGAATCTGGAGTGCCAACTCCTCTTTCCCGCCTAGCACCCTACCTTGTAGCTGTTAGCCCCTCACTCCACTGGGTGGCAGACGCCTTTAGTCACGTGGCTTCTCCCTCGTCTTCCAGTCCTTCCACTTGCCTTCTGGCTTCACTCCCCTCCGTTTCAGCTCCATGCTTTGTGACTGCAGCCACTGCCTTGGTTCTGTGCCTGCTTTTCAGGTAGTGCCTACTTGGTCTCTTCCGCAGGCCCTTCCTCTGCTTGCCCTGGAAATGGTTTTATTCCCCAGAGTCCACACCTCTGTCATCTGATAACTATACCATCTGCGTGTCAGCCTTTTCCCACACAGATTTATCAAGGGCATACTATGTGCCCGAAAGTATGCTAGACCCTGAGGATACGTTGGTGGGTAGAAACAGATCTGCCTGGCACACGGTGTGAAGAATAGATGAATGGTTCACCAACAGTGTCTCAGACATCCAAGATACGTAACAAATATTTGTTGAATGGATGACTATCTAGTTCTGATTTTCACAATAAAAATTGAAAGTATTTAGCAAACTTTTATAGAGCCGTCACCCCAAATGTCCTTAGATGTTGGAAATATAGAGAGTTTTGCTGAGAGTTGAAAGATAACTAAAATGCCTTTTCTGAAACATTTTTTTAAAACCCGGTTTTTTAATTTAGGCCCAAAGATAAAGAAAAAATAACTTAATATAGCTTCTATTAATGTCAAGGTTTTTTAGCAAGATTCAGACCAACTATTTGTCTTTAGGACCAGAAATGAATTTAAACTGTTAAAGAGGAGTTCAGATTAGATAAGAATACTTCTTGCCTGAGATTTATTAAACATTTCTTTATTAAGGACACTTAGAATATCTTCTAGATCTTTGTGGAATGGTTTAAATGTGGTCCCACTTTAGAACAACAACAACAAAAAGTAGGTTGATTGATTGGTTTTGATGGTTTCATGTAATATGCTGTAGAGTTCCAGGGCCTGTTATAATTCCGATTCTTTTTGTCTCCCCCAGGGAAAGTTGGACCTCCTAAACTGGATATCAGAAAGAAGGAAGACCAAATCATGATTGACATATTTCACCCTTTAATTGGCGTAAAAGGATTTGAGCCAGAAGCCATGTATGATGAAGAAAGTACTTGTTACATGTTCACATACAAGGTGTATGTGAGAATAAATGGAAGCAGTGAGGTATGTGTTTCTAGTTCATCTTTTTCAAAATGGAAGTCTTTCTCTGGCTAGCGTGAGTTGTCTCTGTGTCTAGTGTAGTGAAAGTAGAATGCTTGTGAATGTTCAGGCAAGACTCATGGCTCCTGGGTTTGGTAAGAATGGAGAAATGTGTGAGCGCAGTTGAAGGCACTTGTCCTAGAGCCAGTGACCAGCACCAGCCAGTAAACACGTGGATGTTTTCTTTGCCTCGTTTACCGGCATGGCCCTCATCTCGGGTTTCCACCTGTATGTCTCCATTTCTCTACTGGTGAGATGAGCGTAATTTTCACCTTTTCTTCCTTGTTGGTAGTAATATAGAATAATATGAAGCTGTAATTGGAATCATTGTTTTGGAAAGACAAAGCTAACGCTCCTGCCGTGGGGATGTGCTTATCTCCTGGCGCTGCTGTGCAGACCACGCGTTGGTAGGACGTGCATTCTGTCCCTCCATCTCCACACCCTGCCCCTTACCTGAGGGTGTTCATCAGGCATGAGCTCTGCCTTCCAGGCACCGGGAGGTGGCAGCTCTGGTGTAAGTGCTGTGGAGGAGCCAGAGCGGGGCGGGCTGGTCTGAGCGGGCCTCCCTGGGCAGGTGTAGTTGGAGCAGGTCAGGAGGTGAGCTTCGGGAGCGTGTGGGGAGCGTGTCAGATGAAGGACCTGGCATGTGAAGGGCCAGCAAGGCCCGGCAGGGTTCGGCAGCAGGTGAGGTGGGAGGGTCACTGGGGCCCCTTCTGTGGGGGCGTGGCGGGGACTTGGCTGTCTTCTGAGGGAGATGGGTCGCCTCTGGGAAGCCTGAAGCGGAAGAGTGACGTCTGACTGAGGTGTTTAGATAGCACTCTGGCTGCTCACAGAGTTGTCTTTCTGAAGTGTGGATCTGACCTCATAACTTCACTGCCTAAAACCCCGCAACAGACCCCCGTCAGCTACAGAAAACCATCTCAGTGCTCTTTCAGGGCGCGGCCCACCAGGCCTTGATTTGGCCTCTGGCCTCATTCTTTCCAGCCTGCCTTCATCCGTGCCGGCCCTGCAGGCCATGCTCTTTCTCCCGAAGCCCTTCTTTCCCTCTTTGCTTTGGCAAAGTTCTCCTCATTCTTCAGGATCCACCGGCATACCATCTCCCCTCTGAATTCCTTTCGGACATGGTGGCTTCTCCTCTTCCGTGCTCTGGCCGTCCCTCCTTCCATCCAGTAGTGCTTTGTGGTACCCGTTACTCTCCTGCACTGCTTTCTCATCTGTCTTCTGCGCTCTCGCCTGGTTGTTGACATCACACTGCCCTGCCTTTACATCAGGGCCTTGCACCGGTGACCCACGCACCGAGGCTGGTTGAATGAATGATAAACTCCCAGAGATGCTTCAGTGCCTTCTACGTATTACTGCCAAGAGGTCCTACAGCCTGCATAAGACTGTTACTATTCTTCTTGTAAGATGCTTTTATCTCTCACCAGCTAAGTTTCTAGCACTGTAGGAATAGGACTGATGAACAGCTTACAGTGAGCATTCCCGCCATCTGAGTGTGTAAACTTACAGTCCCTATAAAGAGTGTTCTAATGGGTACGTAGCATCGTGCTGTTGGAGTAACAGATTGACTTACTGTTTGATATCAACACTGTTTGCAGACATGGTCAGCTTCATCACGTGTATGTTTTCTTCAGGTGTCTGAGCAGGATACGTACGGTGGTTTTTGCAGATTAAAGGAGCCATGCATGTCGTTTTTTTCCTGTACAGACCGCAGAGCGGATGTACGAGTGCAGGGAAGATGACTGCAACGAGACGCAGTGCCTCCTGCGTGTCCCCGTGTCGGCCCTGAGCTCTCAGTACTGTGCCTCCGCAGAGGGCATCTCCGAAGAGTGGGCTGTCACCACCGAGAAGTCCAGAGAACTTTGTGTGACCGTCGTCGACGAGAACAGCCTAGAAGGTACGTTCTTGCCATTTTTTCCTAAAGATAAGGAGTGATAACTAAAATAGGGTAATGTGAAAAGAGGCAATTTCAATAAATCTCTGCTCTTTTAAAAATATTCAGTGGTTCCATTCCTCAGAGTTCAAAATTAAAAATAAGGCCATTTCTCAGGCATTGAAAGATACAAAACAACCAATTCAGAAAGCCGTGCAATGACCTTTTTACCCAGAAAGAGAGAAATATAACAAAACACATAAAACTCTGTACATAAAATGTCTGCATTTCAGGATTATGCATAATAATGTCAGTTTATTACTTCAACATAGCAAGATGTTATGTATCCATTAAAATGTTCTTTATGTTGGGGGTGGCCCTGTGGCTGAGTGGTTCAAGTTCTGTATGCTCCACTTCAGAGGTCCGGGTTCTCGGGTTCCGATGCCAGGCACAGACCTGTACCACTGATTAGCCACGCTGTGGCAGCGTCCCACATACAAAATAGAGGAAGATTGGCACAGATCTTAGCTGAGGGTGAATCTTCCTAAAGCAAAAAAAGAGGAAGATTGGCAACAGATATTAGCTCAGAACTAATCTTCCTCGGCAAAAAAAAAAAAAAAAAATTTCTCTATGGGGATAGTAAGTTAAAAAATGGATTAGCAGGAAAGTTCATTGACGTGTGTGACATGATCTAGAGAAGCACTGGAAATTAATATCCAAAACTAAATACAGATTAGTTTAAATAACGGGTTGTGTGTCATTTTTATAACATTTTAAAATCATTATTTTTATTTCATCTTTTTTTTCTGTGTGGGGGACACATATAATAAAACTTTCAAACTGCAATTCTCAAGTGACAGGTATCTTAACAAAAATTTGGGCCTTTCTTTTCAGTTATAAAATTTAAATGTTCATTAAAGATAATTTATAAAATATAAAAGCCAGAAGAAAACAAAATTATCTGTAGTCCTACCATCCAAACAAATACCCAGTTACAGTTTGGTGGTTTTCTTCCATCCTATTTTTCTCTTTTTCTACATAGCCATGATCATATTGTATAGCATATATAATTTTGTGTATGTACAATCTTACATTAATCTTATCCATACTTTCCTATGTTACTTCACATACTTTGTTAATATTATTTTTAACGTCTGCAGACTTAGTTCATCATGTAGATTGTATTTTATTTAATGTTCCCCAACTTTTGGACCTTCAGATTATTTACAGATTTTCTCTATGGTAAATCATGCTTTTAGGACTATCTTTGTGTTTATATATTTTTTCTGATTGTTGGGATGGTTTTAGAATATATTTCCTAGGTTAAAAAATGTACAGAAATATTATGATACATATATCTTTTTGAAGAATGGAAACCTAGGCTGAAGAATCAGACCAAACACCTCAAATTTATAGTAATAACTTTAGGCCAGGGCCGGCCCCATGGCTTAGTGGTGGTTGGGTGCTCGAGCTCCGCTACTGGTGGCCTGGGTTCGGATCCGGGGCGTGCACTGACGCACTGCTTCTCCAGCCACGCTGAGGCCGCGTCCCACATACAGCAACTAGAAGGATGTGCAGCCATGACATACAACTATCTACTGGGGCTTTGGGGAAAAAAAAAAGGAGGAGGATTGGCAATAGATGTTAGCTCAGAGCCGGTCTTCCTCAGCAAAAAGAGGAGGATTAGCATGGATGTTAGCTCAGGGCTAATCTCCCTCACACAAATAAATAAATAAAAATAACTTCAGGCCATTATACAAGGGTTTCAGATAGGTGACTTAAAATAATGCAGTGCTTTTTTGGCCAACTCACATTATGCTATTTTGAAAAATAAAATCCTAATTAATTCACAAAATTTGAAGTAATGCAAATGCCCCAGATTTTATTTTATTTTTTTCTTAAAAAAGCCTGGATTATAAAGCAGACTGATACTGTGGCCACCTGGCGGCACAACCCTGGCTGGTAGCAGCCTCCCTGCCTGCCTGTGCTGCTGGACTCCATGCTGGCGTTACTTACCTAGTGATTGTATCTCTTACTGTTGTCATCATTCACTTTCCTTCACATCCTGTAACAGGTGTAACATGAGCATGCTTTTAGTAGTAACTTCCAGGGTTACTATTCCAAAGCAGTAACTTTGGAGTGGAAATTAAAGGTAATAAAATGCCGTGAAAGAGACCGAATACCACCACGGTATGTCGAGTCCTATTAATTTGGAAGAGAGGACTGTGAAAACAGTGCTGAAGATTGTGCCATGAAAAGAAGAGCAGCGTTAGAGCAAAGTCCACAGTAGTGATGGCAGATGGGTGTGCTCCAAAACAGACCTCCGTTTATCTTGTTCTTTGTGTTGGTTTGCGTTCAAGGGGACTTTATTTCTGCGTGACTTTCCTCTGTGTGTGCATGTCTGTCTGTGCGTGTGTGCATCTGTGTATAAGTATTTGCAATCTTGAAATAATATAAAATGTAACAAAATTCTGAAGAGTGGGGCTAAGTTATGTCAAGAGTTATAGACGTTGCTAGAATTTACTTCTAAAGAGAGAGAGTTTAAATATCTTCCTTTGTCTTTTTAATGAGAGAAAAGTGTAACTCTGGAAACACCCTATATTTGGGGCTTTAAAAAAATTGTTATGAAAAAGCTATTTTTGCCACCTTGTTGTGGCAGTGCAGTCACAGATGTTTAGAACTTCTGTGCTGGGAAGAATCGCCCATGTCGAGGACAGGTACCCAGTTTTGACTCATCTCGCCTGCCTTCTGGGTCAGCTCCTTACAACTCTGGCTGCATTCATGAGCTGACACGTGAATCTGTGGAAGAGTAGCACTGAGACTTTGCACTGTTTGGTGGGTTTGTACTGTTCCATCTGAATTCTGATTTGTGATTTCCCCCTTCCAGGTTCTGTTTGGATTCCAGTTGTTGCTGCTTTCCTGCTCTTTCTAGTCATTGTCCTGGTGTTTGTGTATTGTCACGTTAAGAAGACAAATCCGTGTAAGAGAAAAAATGTCACGTTACCCAAGTCCTTGGTAATGTATTTAAATATTTTTTCTTGAATTACCTACACTAAAATGTTAATTTGAACCTTTGTGATAGTTTTTTAGATTTTTCTTTTTAAAGTAGAAGCATGTTCAGCAGCACATCACCTACCATCAATTACTCAATCCAGCACATATCCAAAACCACGTAATTCTTACTACACACAGGGTACTTTTTTATGCACAGGGCAAAAGCATAGTTAGAGAAGTCTGTTAAGGAGCCTAACGTCGAGTGGGAGAAAAAGGTAAGTGTTGAGGAGATGGGTGTGCAGTGTGGTAGGTTCAAAGATAGAGCTTAGATACATGCAGCGGGGACGTCGTCCACCTCTGGGGCTGGGTGGTGGGGGCTTCGCGGAAGCAGTGATGCTGGCAGTCCTGAGGCACAGGTAGGAGTTGTCCAGGTGCTCAGGGGCAGTGTGTGCTGAGGCCCAGCATCCAGAAAGCATGGCTTCTGAGAACCTGCAGGTACGGAAACACTTCAGTATGGTTGGAGTGTAGAAGAAAAGACAGCCGAAAAGTGAGACTAGACTCAAAGTTTGACATTTTAATGTCTAACGTTGAAAAGCCTTTGTATGATGAACGTTTAAAGGTAATAGAATGGTAACTATTTGAACCAAATATGACAGGAATAATATCTGTGGTATGCAAAGGGCACATTTAAATTTGTTATGAAAACACTGCCTCTAAGTGAAGTGGATAAGAACTATCAACAGTTAGTAGACAAGTCACGTATGAATTATAATATTTATCATTACTAGTAATGAAGCACAAAGCAACCTTGGCAGTGTGACATTTTACACCCACTAGAGAAGGAAAAATAAACGTGAATATCCAGGTTCATTTTTCAAAAACATTCCAAAAATAAATTGGTGGTTGAACTGGTAGATGCTGGTGAAAGTAACGGAGCCCTGGTTGAAGAGAAGCGTGCGGTGGGCACAGCGTGGTGGTGTGGACGTGCCACACCCTTGGGCTTAGTCATTCCACTCAGAGGAATTGATTGTAAAAAAATGATTTCCTAAGTAAAAGATGTGTAAAAATATTCACTTGATCATGTGCTGTAAATAGTAAAAATTGGAAACACTTTAACATCTATTAGAGAAGTTATTTAACCATCAGTATAAAGAAATTATATGAGCTAATGGCAATTATAACAAATATAAAAATTATGATTATGAAGGCAGATGGTGAAAATGTTATATAAAATAAGTAGATGTCCTCCCATTACAAATGTAATGTGCAGACATGTGGAAGGTAATGCACGAAAAGCAATGTATATTGGTGAGATAGTAGGTAACTTTTTAAAAATCCTAAAAACCCGTTTTTCATCTTGACATATAGTATATTTTCATTAAAAAGAAAGAAGAGGCAACCCCCAGATCCTATTATACTGTTATCCTAATTATGCCATTTAATGGTACATTTAGTTGTCCATTTCCCTTAGGCCATGTTTTTTTTTGAAGATAGGCACTTTAGTTTAATAATTCATTATTTTTAATCGTTGATTTCTCTTCCCTTAGCTGTCTGTGGTAAAAAGCGCCTCTTCGGAGGCAAAATCTGAATCAAAACATATCTCACCCATCACCTACCAGCCAATCGTCCTGGAAGACGAGAAGGCAGTCTGGGAGGAGCAGGTGTCCCCAGCAACAGTTTCTGGGCTGCCTGCTGAAGAGAATCCAGGAAAAGAAGAACCCGGAGAAGAGCTCTCCAGTGAGACGGGAGTGGTGGCCACTGAAGGAACTCCTGACATGGCCCCGGGGAGCCCTCTGACCCCAGTAAGGACAGAGGGTTCTGTCCGCTTAAGTAGTAACCAGTCTGAACTCTGCAGCGGTGCTTTAAACTCCTATCATTCCAGAAATGGCTCTGATAGTGGCGTTGTGGAATCAGACAGCTTCTTATCTGACTCCGAATTTCCCCCAAACGATAAAAGTGAAGTAAAGACAGAAGGACAAGAGTCCCTAACGCTGAGAAACACTACTACCTCCTTCGGTTACGATAAACCACACGTGTTGGTGGATGTGCTTGTGGATGAAGGTGCTAAAGAGTCCCTGATTGGTTACAGAGTGACAGCAGATTCCCACCGGTTGTCGTAAGGTGGACCCAGCTGCACCAGCTGTGAAGGAGCTGCTCTCCCGCTTTGAGTTCATGAAAAGATCCTGATTTCTGGAATTGTGTTTGTTGATATTAACCAGCTGGCATGTTTTGGTTTAGATAAAAGTTTGCAGAGCCTGTTTGGTCTGAAAACTGCAAAAGCTCTTTGAAAAAAACAAACCACCCTTATATATATATACAATGGAATACTACTCAGCCATAAAAAAAGACAAAATCGTCCCATTTGCAACAACATGGATGGGCCTGGAGCGTATTATGTTAAGTGAAATAAGCCAGAAAGAGAAAGACAAACACTGTATGATCTCACTCATATGTGGAATATAAACCAACACATGGACAGAGAAAACTGGACTGTGGTTACCAGGGGCAGTGGGGGTGGGGGGATAGGCACAAGGGGTGAAGGGAGTCGTATATATGGTGATGGACAAACAAAAATGTACAACCCAAAATTTCACAATGTTAGAAACCATTAAAACATCAATAAAAAAAAAAAAACCACCCATTGTCGAGCATGGACCTCTCCGCCTGCACGATCAGCGGTGACAGCGAACAGTCCTTGATAACCCTGCTCCTGCAACAGAGGTGGTGCCCGCCCGACGTCCTCTCTGACCACTGCAGTTGTGTCGCAGATCTTTCTTTTCTGTGCCCCCGTATGATATTTTTTGGAGGTTTGTGTATATAGTATTTTTATGTACTTGCTTTCAAAAGAAATCCTGGAAACTTTTCAAAATTACATTTAAAATCAAATTCAAACCAATAGAATTAATAAAGAGTATGTAAAGAGAAATGTATATATTTTTTATGGAGCATACTGCATGTAAATATTTTTAAATAAAATATTTTTAAAATTCATTTTTGTATTCATTTATTCAAGCACTTAGGCAGTTAGTTAACTAGAGTATTTTTCATCCATTTCCTTGTTTGCATGCATTAATGCTATAGAATTTATTTTCTAATTATTCATATCTAATCTTTAAAATAGTCCTAAAAATAATTTTTTTAAATGGTCCTTTTATGTCTGTATTTCAGTATTTGAGACCCAGTGTGCAGACCACAGTGCCAAGCTGTTTGGGGACGGTTTCTCTGTAGAGCATGTGGATTGGGAGTTTCTAGTATAAAGATGGTGGTCGAAGCCACAGAGCCAGTGAAGGGTCCAAGAGACGTGTGGGAGACTTCCGCCCAACACAGCAGCTCTTGGGAATTACCAAGAGGATAGAAATTTGGGACTCGAATTAATTGACCAAAAACCATTTTTTAAATACAACTTACAGGACTAAATTAACAAACCATGGAAAAATATTTCTACTCATTTAAAAGTGCAAATTAAAATGAGTTGTTACTTTATTAGTGGAAAAAAAGTAGTAAATATTGGTGTGATTTCAGTGAAACTAGAATACTCGGCTTATTTGGGGGACGGTGTCTTGTGAATTGCTTTTCTAATGATAAAGGAGTACATATCACATTCCATAAAAGTACATATTCTTTACAGAATTATCTGTTGTAGGAAAATTATGAATCAACACAAATGAAAAACATACACATTAGAATGGGAAAAAGCAAAAATATGAAAATAATTTCAATAGCCAAGGATAAGGTAAGAGTGCTGCCCTCCAAGGGGACTGGACTAATGTGTGTCCCGCCAATGTGAGCCAGTGCTGCATGTAGCCAGTTCCAGCTGATAACAGTCTCTTAACCTCTGCAGTCTTCTAGGGAAACCATTTTAGTGCTTTCATTTGCATTTCTTTAATAATTAGTAAGGTTGGGCGTGTTTTATGGATTAAAGTGTTTACGATCCTGTGACATGACTCCTCCTGTCCTTGGGTCATTTCTTGCTGGGCTGTTTACTGACTGTACCCTTTGCCACGAGTCACATACTATTTCTTTCCTTTTGACTAAGTCTCTAACCACACAGATGTTCAAAATGTTTATAAAATCAAATTTATTCATCTTTTCCTTCCATTCTTAAAAAACCCTTCTCTTTCCTAGGAAGACACAAATTTTCACCCACATTTTTTCCTTCTGCTATTTGGGGTCATTGTTAGTTTCATTTCTACATTTAATTCTTGTGTCCACCTAGATTTTCTTTGGTAAAAGCAGTGACGGGATCCAGCTTTCCTATTTTCGTGTCTAGGGCTGCCACCATATGTTCCCACAAACATGGGTGGCTTCAACAACGGAAGTCCATTCTCTCACAGTTCAGAGGCAGGGCCGGATTCTGTCCGAAGGCCCTTGGGGAGGGTCTTTCCTTCCTCTTCCCAGTTTTGGGTGGTTCCTGGCAGTCCCTGGCATTCCTTGACTCACAGCACGGTTCCAGTCTCTGCCTCTGCTGTCACGTGGCCGCCTTCCTGTGTGTCTGTGTCCACGTCTCCCTCTATAAAGACGCTGGTCATTGGCCTAGGGCCCGCTCTAGTGCAGCGTGACTTCATCTTGATTTGGTTAGATCTGCAAAGACACTATTTCCAAATAGAGTCATGTTGGTAGGTGCCAGGGGTTAGGACTTGAACACGCCTTTAGGGGACACAGTTCAACCTCATATTTTCCCTGATAAGTCAATCAGTTGCCCCAATACTATTTAATAAATCATCCAGCTGTTTTTTTCTGTGCTGGTTCCAAATGTCACGTTTACCACATGTGAAATTCTCAGCATTTCTGGGACCAGTTCATTGTTCTGAATTTTCTTGTGTCCGTGTCATGCTGTTATAATTACAGCTTTATGTGTTGTTAGTGCTGTGGAGTCAATTCTGACTCCCACCGCCCCTGTGGACAGCAGAGGGAACCCTGCCCGGTCTTGTCTCACTGTCCTCTCCCCTGCTGGCGCTGTGTCAGACGATGCACTGAGGCCAAGAAGAGCATGTTGCACGCAGGGGTAGGCAAAGTGTGAGGGCCTGAGCAGCAGGTCTCTGATCCTAGCCCACTCCGGGTTAGGAACTGTGCCTGGAGAAGAGGTACCCCAAATTCAAAGTCTCAGGTGGGTCAGGTTCAGGGGTGCTGTGGTCTAAGACACCCCTTTCAGTCCACATTTGTTCAGCCCCTGCGGAAAGCCAAGCCCACACTGTGGTCCCCAGCCCCGGGTGAGTGTGTGTGGGGCTCAGAAGTCAGGGCCCTTGAGTGGGAACCCCACTCCACCACTCACCAAGGGATCTGGAGCAAGTTCCCTCACTGCTCTTTACTTCATTTGCTGTGAAGCTGGGATGACAAGGTACTGAGTACACGTTTGGTTATGAGAAAATCTCACGGAGCCCTTCGCACGGCGCCGGCCGCTGGCAGCCCTTAATCCAAGTCAGCTGCCAAAGTGTGAAAGGAAACCAGAGTGAAGTCACGAAGTTCTCAATTACAAACAGGCCCACCAGGGTGGTGAAGGAGAAGCGCCGGGTGCCCATGGAGGGTACAGGGACCCAGCAGAGATAGGCATCAGGACAGGGGCCCATCGGAGATGGGGGTCAGGTCAGGGGGCCCAGTGGAGGCAGGGGTCAGGTCAAGGGGCCCAGCGGAGACTGGGGTCAGGTCAGGTCCTGAGGAAGGGTGTTTACACATAAACTGGGTAGTGGGAGCAGGGAGAGGGAGGGGGAAGAGACTGCAAGACCTAAAGGGCAACAAAGGTAGGATCCTGAGCTGCAGAACTGAATATTTTTTTCCTGTTTTAGTATACGTGGGGATATTATTTTTAATTCAGCTCCCTTCTCTCCCATTTCAAAAGGCCCCTTCATCCCCACGGTTCGGCGGTGCTGTCAGGCAGAGTCTAGACTCACTGGGAACCATGAACTGGGAACCACGTGCGGGGAAAAGGGAAATGGTCTTGTTCTGCTCTGACCTCGGCAAGGGCCAACCCCACAGAGGAGTCAGAGCCCCCACAGCTTATGTCCCCACCCGGCCACCTCGATGTGACTTTCTGTCATTACTCTAATTTCAGGTTCTCTCTGCTTAAAACCTTCCCATGGCTTCCCCTCCCCTCAGAATGTATCCACAGACCCTGCCATGGAGCTCCTGGCCTCCTGGCCAGCCCTCTGCCTCTGCTCCCTCCCCTCCGGCCAGAGGGCCTCTGCCCTTCATCTGGGCTGGTTGTTCCCTCTGCTTATGAAACCAAGCTCCAGCTCAAAGAGGTTAAAAAATCTTCCCTGGGCTAGAAGAAGAGAGCAAACCTTTGAGATAAGCTTTGCTACTGCAGCTGTGCATAGTCAGCATAATCAACTGGTGTTTAAAACCGACCATGACTTTCTGTCCCTCCTTCCTATATGAGTGAGCTGTCTTTCCCAGGAAATCAAGGTCAAGATGTCAAGATTCAGCCTCACAAGGCCAAATGCAGGCTGAAGATGAAAACTAACCAGAAAAGTCCAGACTGTCAAGGGAAAGAAATTCAATCTTCAAGGCCAAACACAGGCTGGTGGGAAGGTGCCAGCCAGCACGGCCACATGCTCCCTCTCCCCTACCTAAACCCCAGCACATGCTCCCCTCAAAACCTTTAAAACCCCTTACCTCCCACCTTTCGGGGAGATGGGACGAATTTGAGACCTCTTGTGTCTCAGCTGACATCACTCGAAATAAAAACCCTTTTTTTTTATTCCAGTTTTTATTTGGCCCCTCTTGGTGGGTAAAGAACCTGTGTTTGCGTCCATAACACATAGACTGTGCTTCCGGTCTGCGTGGCTCCCCGCCTCGCCTGACTGTCCTCTGCTCACGGTGGCCGGGCCAGTGCGGCCTTCCCTCACTCCTGTCTGCAGCAGCATCTTCGGCAGCCTGTTCCCACACCGTGCTTTGTCTCAGCAGCAGGGATGGGCACCTGGCCAAATGGTCAGGTATCTGCTCACCGTCCACCTCCCACACAGACACCAGGACAACAGCTCTATGAGAAGAACTTGTCTGGTCCACAGCAATGTCTCCAGAATTTAGCACAGGGCCTGGCACAGAGCACATGCCCAGTAAATATTTGTGGACTAGATGAATTGTCTATACAACCATTCCATTTGGTTCATCTTTATGTCCG